TTGATGTTTTATCATCCTTGTAGGAGGCTTCTCTCATGTCTCTGCATGAGGAGCTGGAGCTGATAGAGGGAGCTCATCCGCCTCTCCCCAGATTCAAACCTGTGACCTGTCTTCAGTCCTGCCGGCACAGGGGTTTAACCCACTGCGCCACTGGGGGCTCCTATGATTCTGCCTGACTTTGCAACATTCACTGTTTCACATATTCCAGATATACACTCATAACACTGGAGATGGATTCTAGTTTGAATGTGGCTTCAAATAAGAAATATGTGTGCTTAAAACTTAAGTGATTAGAGATGTGATCCATGGATGAATTACTTCTAATCCTGAGAAGCAAATGCAAGTATGAAAGTGTGAGTTACCAGAATTCAGCACAAAGAGCAACTATATTCCTTTCAGTCTCTCAGGAAAACAAATCTAAAACAGCTGGTTTACTTTCAGCTATACAAACAAAAGCCTTGTTCTCTCCCTCCCCTGCCCTAATCAAATACTGAATGTCAACTACCGAGCTCCACAAGACATACTAACAGCTTTCCCCGTCTCATATAGCATTTGTGCATCTCTCAAAATAACAAACAATTGTTATGATAAAGCAAAAATCTTTGTGCACCACACAGTAGAATCTCACCCTTCTTTTCTTACTCTCATCCCTTAACACTTTTGAAATGCCTGGAAGTATTTTCCTTCTTTGCTTCCATGACTTGTGACCAACAGAGAAAATGAAGAATAGGATAAAACGGATATGGAATCTTCTTCTAATGGCTTTAGCTCTTGGGAAATTTTGGAACATGGTTTTGGAATTTTGCTTCTTCCAAAGAACATACAATTTTTCTCAGAGACTCATTTATAAACAATTGTAATCCAAAAAAAAAAAAAAAAATGCTGTGAAGCATCAGAAAAGAGAGAGTGGAACAATCCAAACCTGGAAAACAAATATTGTGAGACTCCCTCAAACATAAGAATTGTTTCAACTCAACATTGTACAGAGAGAGGAAGTTTCTCATACTCAGTGTCATGACCACTTTGCAATATGCAGAGATTAATATCTTATGTATTCACTCAGCTCATTTCCAGTCAGCTTCTACAAAAGTCCAGTGGTTCTCAACCTGGGGTCCCCAGATGTTTTTGGCCTTCAACTCCCAGAAATCCTAACAGCTGGTAAACTGACTGGGATTTCTGGGAGTTGTAGGCCAAAAACATCTGGGGACCCCAGGTTGAGAACCACTGATCTAGTCATTTCCTAGAGGAGGTGAAGATTAGGAGAAGCCTGGAGGGAAATGTGGAGAACCTTTATGATTGACTGGGAGAAAGTGGGTGGAGCTTAGTTGAAGTGCAGAAAAAAATTGCCTTTAGGGGGGTGTTTTAAAATCTGACAGTTTAGTCAGGGTCTGAGTTTTGAAGAAGAAAGTTAGGTTTTGAGAGAGTTAGGAGAGGAGAAGTTAGTGAAGCCAAAGTGGTTAGTTAGAGAATACAGATAGCTATTAGAGAAGAATAGCTGGTGAAGAGATTGTAAACAAATCCAAGGGAAAGGACTAGGTATTAGTATTAGGAATTCTAGTCAGATGGAATTAGGAATTCTAGTCAGAAGGAAGTCTGCTAGTTTCCTGAGGAAGTGAAGAGTTGTTATTGGAACCAAGTACTGAACTGTTTTAAAGTAACCATAAACTTCATCTCAACCTTGCAACCGTTACACTTAAGTGCCTGTGTTTTTGAAAACCACACAAATAAACAACTTTGTTCTTTGTTAATCAACAACTGTCTCAGAGTGCCTCTGTGTAAAGAAGTTCTAAAGCAAGTTAGAGAAACAGAGTTTCCAGAATGGTGGCAGCAACAATTTAGAAGAATCTCCATGTTATTCACCTCAGTGTTCTGAGCCCTTAGTGTGAATTCAGTACATTCCAGCTTACTTAAAAGCTCTGATCAAACTCAAACTGAAAACTCTTTTTAAATTGGGTGGTAGCCAGTTTCCATATTAAAGGTTCCTCAGAATATCGTGTGTTGGTAGCAAAGTCTCTGCAGCCTCCAAAGAATTAATAGAATTTTTTTAAAAAATCTGTTACAGAGGCATTACATTTTGCCATAATTATGTTGGAAACCGCTTTGAGTCCCCTGCTGGGATGAGAAAAGCAGTATACAAGGGAGGGAAGGAGGGAAGACAGAAAGACAGAAAGAAGGAAAAAAGGAAAGAAGGAAGGAAAGAAAGAAAGAAAGAGCAAGCTAATGATGAATAGCACTGGAAGCCAAAGCTCAATAAGCTTTATGGGAGGATCTTATTTTATGGGGTGCCACTTTAATCTTCCCCTGCATCTTGCTCTCTAGAATTTCATCATCTTCAAGTTGCTTTTGCCATGCAGGGGAAACACATAGGAACATATAGCATACATGTAGGTTTCCTCTCCTAGGACAAACAACAGCTTTGGGAAGGAGTTTATATCTGAGAGGCAGAGGTGAGGATAACTCAGAACTCATAAAACAGGCTATGAAGAATTCTGGGAACTCAAACCAAACTTTCCCAAAATCTGGTATCAACACCTCTCCTCCTATCCCTATGGCTCCAATACATTTTGGGACCACCACTGCAGCTTACATTAAAATCCTCACTGGAGACCTTATTTGTGGATCTGCATATGATGTTTTGTTTGGCCCTTTCCACTAGACAGGAAACAGTTCTGGACACATCCTACTGTGTCGACAGCAGTAAAAAATAACCTTGGGAGCAATTTCTTTTCATTGCAAGCCAGAGAAAAAGCCACTTTGTAATTTCCAAAGCTGAATGCCAATGTAAAATGCATACAAAATATAATTAGGCTGTGTAATAAGCCTGCTAACATAATTTAGGAAGCAGATTGACATCTTTCCACATTTACTAATGACATACAACATAAAATTAGCACTGAGGAGCACCAAATAAAGCCTGGCCAGGAAACAAGTTCTCCACGATCTGAAACTGCATTAAAGGGCAACAGCAAATCCTTCATATTATCCAAATGTTTAATGAGTCTAGGAAGCCCATTTAAACTATACCCCACCCTAACAGTATTGGCCAGAAGACAGACACTCAGCTTCAGCTAGAAAACTGCAAGAGCTATAGCCATTAAAGCACTTTCTTTTGCACAAAATGAAAGCCAGGATTTGAAGAATGAGCCAACATGGTGTAGTAGTTTAAGTGTTGGACAAGGACTATGGGAGACGAGGTTCAAACCCCACTCAGTCATAGAAAAAACTGGGTGACCGTCACCAGTCACATTCTCTCATCCTCAAAGGAAGGCAAAGGCAACCCCAGCCCAAAAATCTTTTAAATAATCCTCTTGATAGGGTTGCCTTAGGATCACCATAAGTTAGAAATGACTTGAAAGCACACAACCACAAACAACAATTAGTTTTAATGTTGCTTTCATGTTACTTGTCGCTCTTCACATTTCTTTAACATGCATGTGTCCAGCAACATATACCTCACCCATTTAGTTTGTTCTAATAGGTGTAAATGCAAGAAAAGTAAGGTAAGAATAAGCCTAAAACCTGCTCTTTTCAAGGTCTGTACCTCGATTAATGTGGGCAAAAGTGAGTATCTTATTTGTTAAAGATATTCCATATCTATAGCAATCTTTGTGTGTACTGGCAGGACTGAATCTGGGGAGAGGTGGATGAGCTCCCTCTATCAGCTCCAGCTCCTCATACGGGGACATGAGAGAAACTTCCCACAAAGATGATAAAAACATCAAATCATCCAGGAGCCCCCTGGGCAATGTCCTTGCAGACAGCCAATTCTCTCACACCAGAAGCGACTTGCAGTTTCTCAAGTAGCTCCTGACACGACAAAAAAAATTCATCCCCATTCTTTCCTCTCACCACAATTGCTTCTGGCACCTACTACTACTACTGACAAATGTCACATTGGGATATTTCTTGAAGTCACAATGCAGAACTTTTGTAAAGTTACTGAGGAAAAAAATAAATAAAAGAAATTTCACTACAGTTCACAGAAGACTAAAATAAAATGCATAGAAGTGGAATAAATGAATACTGGTGGCATTTAGGTGTGGAGAGGAAACAAAATCCATGTCATTATCCCAGGAGGTTCACATCCTGCTACAAATCCAGACAACTAATTCAGAAGAACCAACCTATCAGCTCAAGCAACAGGCATACCAGAGGCACTTCTACGCTCAACACATTAGCCCTGGTCTTGACAAAAGCCTTTTAAGGAGCTCTAATCCAATTACCCACCAAGTTCTGTCACACTCCGTTCACCTTGATCAACCCAAGCCTGCCATTCCTGCAACTATGTGATATAAAATATCAACATTTTAGTAACACTGTTATAGTTTGTAATTGTATCTTAAAAGTAACTGAAATGAGATGGGCACGTGGGGGTAAAAAGGAACATGCCTTATTCAAGAATATCATGGAAGAGTGGGATTCTCTCTTCCACATAACTATTAGGGATATAGTAGTCTTATCATTCATTTTTCAAAGGGCCACTTATGATACATTCAAGAAGTCGAATACAGTTATTTATGAGTTATAAACATCCAACTTACAAATGACTCATAGTTACAAATGGGCATGAGACAACAGGAAACGAGAGAAATCTACCTCTTGGAAGGGACATTCAATCCTGAAAGAGTTAGCATGGGGAGAAAGGGTCTCCACTGAAGCTTTAGCACCAACATTTGTTTTCACAACAAGCCACATTTTTCAAAATCCAACTATCACAGAACAGAAAGTGAGAGGAGATCTTCTGAATAGGGGCACAGACAGAAAAACAAACACCACAGGGGTGTGAACCCTTCCCTATGCTTTCCAAAGTGCACTCTCCCCCCCCCTCTCTATATATGGAGTTACACTTAAAAATGTACTTGTTCTGACTTACATACAAATTTAAATTAGGAAAAAACCCACAGAACCAATCTGGTTAATAACTTGGGGACTGCCTGCACTTTATTCCAAGCCTACTCCGACCCAATGTTGTACAAGTAAGTTTGGAGGAAGAGTCACACCTCTTTGACGGCATTGCTCAGCTTATACTGAGTATCCTCCATCAGCTCCTCTACTTCACGGAACATTTCATTCAGACTGGCTTCATCCCTGGGAAAGGTTACGACAATCTCTTCATTTGGCTGCTCTTCTCCATCACCTTCCAAAGCAGGAGCAGCATTCACCACTCCAAGAAGGATGGGCAGGAACAGGAGTCTTGAGCCAAATTGGAACATCTTCAAAATTGAGTCCCTGAAAAACAAATAAAACTAAGAAGATCAAGCAGACTTTTAAGACAGAAGGAACTCATCTCTTCCAACAAGCTTAAAAGAACTACCAATGACTCTGTATGGAGAGCTCTATCAGGCACAAGAAGAGCTCTGAACACAGGCACAAAGGACACAGTCTCTGCAAGATCTTCATGCTTATATCTATACATGGCCTCTTATTCATAGTCATCCATAGTTTAATTTACCCGTGCTCCAAAGAACAGTATATTCCCCCAGGAAGTGTTTGTAGGCCTCTCTGGGTCCTCCACAGCTATTATATGGTATGTTTTCGGCCCAAGTTTATAGGATTCACTGTTACCCACAATTTCAGGTATCCATGGGAGGGAGGAGGTCTTGGAAGATATCTCCAGGGGATATTTAGGTTATACTGCACAGGTATGTAAACTGAGAATAATTACCAGGAATTGCAATGGCAAGGGTAGTTTACAAATCAGCCATATCCCTGAAAAAAAAAATAGTAGGTAAAAATCTATTGCTAGTTTGTGATCTCTATCCCATCCTCCGCTCCATTCATTTGTTCCTTTCAGCCGTATTCTGTCTCACACTGCTGCCTGCCATACTCTCCTGGAAGAAAACCGCCACTAACTTACAGAATTAAACTCAGGGAAAGTTTCCATTGTTGCCAATGAATTCCTTCCCTGCTTGCTCTTGAAATGTATTTGCCATGGAAGTAGAAGGCCGGGAAAGAGACACAGCAGGTAGAGAGGGCCTTTCCAATTGGTATCCCCCTTCATGTGGCAACTGAGAATGGAAAAGACATCATCACTCACTGGCCTCCTTAGAATTTTAAACTGTGATTTCAGAGGGGAATGGGAGGATTTGGGATGTGTGCGGAGGCTTAAACCCCTCCTTGAAAACCACCAATGAAACTCAAGCTCCCAAGGAATGTATCTGAGATTTTCAACAATAGATTTGGGACTGGGGGCTTATGCGATGAGGTCTAGCCATTCCCACAAACAACTTTTCTTGTTTTAGAAATTGAGCAACAGGAATGAAAGCACCACAGAATTTACTTTCAAAATATGGCTATTTTAGGAAGCAAGCAGTCTTAACAAGGTAACAATGGAGACAATTTTGAGGGGAGGTATTGTTTCTCTCAAGCTCCATATATTGAGGTTGAATGGGCATATTTTGAGAGCAGGCCCTCCTTGCTCTCAAAGGAGCAACATTTCCACCAAGTGCTCAAAAATCCAGGTATTTCATCTATGTTCGCTTGCATACATGTATATATGGGCACACACAAAGTCTCTAGCAGTTTTTATCCTCACTAGGAGAAAGGCTTTTGTAAAGCTAATGAATGTGCATATGGACAATTTCAACAGAAGGAGGAAACCATGAAAATGAACAAAATCTGGCTACCAGTATTTAAAAACTCTAAAATTAGGACAGTGAATAAAGAGGAAAACTCTGAAAACAAGGGAATTCCAGAAAAAATAAATAAATCAGGGCCAGCTAACACCCCGCAACAAAGGATTCCCCAGGCAGGAAACAGCCAGACTTTGAAGCTGCAAGGTTATTCAATGCTAATCAAGGTCATCAATTGCAACATTCACACGTGCCTCAAACAGCCAAGGGTTCCTTCTCCCACAGATATATAAGCCTCACTTGCCTAGTTTCCAACAGACCTCACAACCTCTGAGGATGCCTGCCATAGATGTGGGTGAAACATCAGAAGAGAATGCTTCTGGAAAATGGCCTTACAGCTCAGAAAACTTGCAGCAACCCTAATGAACATGATCCATTCAAGACCAACTAACACCATCACATTGATAGCTCATCACATACATTGTGTCCAAAGGGGTCAATTTCCCTCCCAGCTACTGCGGGGATTGCAGCTAAAATGGGAGGGAAAAGGGTGGGTGGAGAGATGGAGTCCCAGTCTCTGCTAATTAAGGAGTCCTGGGGCTTTGACCCTGCCAGTTGCGACTCTGCTGCATCACTACCTCTACTGAGAGAGAAAATTGTATTGAGGTTAATTCACTTAAAAGTGAATTAAAACCAGTAGCCCCCTGATGGTGCAGCAGGCTAAACTGTTGAGCTGCTGAACTTGCTAACCAGAAGGTTGGAGGTTTAAATCCAGGGAGTGGGGTGAGCTCCCACAGTTAGCCCCAGCTTCTGCCAACCTAGCAGTTTGAAAACATGCAAATGTGTGTAGATCAATACGTACCACTTCTGCGGGAAGGTAGAATCATAGAATCATAGAATCAAAGAGTTGGAAGAGACCTCATGGGCCATCCAGTCCAACCCCCTGCCAAGAAGCAGGAATATTGCATTCAAAGCACCCCTGACAGATGGCCATCCAGCCTCTGTTTAAAAGCTCCAAAGAAGGAGCCTCCACCACACTCCGGGGCAGAGAGTTCCACTGCTGAACGGCTCTCACAGTCAGGAAGTTCTTCCTCATGTTCAGATGGAATCTCCTCTCTAGTAGTTTGAAGCCATTGTTCCGCGTCCTAGTCTCCAAGGAAGCAGAAAACAAGCTTGCTCCCTCCTCCCTGTGGCTTCCTCTCACATATTTATACATGGCTATCATATCTCCTCTCAGCCTTCTCTTCTTCAGGCTAAACATGCCCAGCTCCTTAAGCCGCTCCTCATAGGGCTTGTTCTCCAGACCCTTGATCATTTTAGTCACCCTCCTCTGGACATTCCAGCTTGTCAATATCTCTCTTGAATTGTGGTGCCCAGAATTGGACACAATATTCCAGGTGTGGTCTAACCAAAGCAGAATAGAGGGGTAGCATTACTTCCCTAGATCTAGACACTATGCTCCTATTGATGCAGGCCAAAATCCCACTGGCACTCTGTACAGGTAATGGCACTCTGTACAGTCATGCTAGTCAAATGACCTAGGAGGTGTCTATGGACAATGCTGGTTCTTCAGCTTAGAAATGGAGATGAGCACCACCCCCCAGAGTTGGACCCAGGTAGACTTAATGTTAGGGGAAACCTTTACCTTTACTTCACTTAAAAGTCACCTAACAGTGGGTGACTTCTAAAGATCAACACACCATAGGAACCTGGAATGCAAGATCTATGAGCCAGGGCAAATTGGATGTTGTTATTGGTGAGATGTCAAGACTAAAGATAGACATTCTGGGGGTCAGCGAACTGAAATGGACTGGAATGGGCCACTTCACATCAGATGACCACCAGATCTACTACTGCGGACAAGAGGAACATTGAAGAAATGGAGTAGCCTTCATAATTAATAAGAAATTCGCTAAAGCAGTGCTTGGATACAACCCAAAAAATGACAGAATGATCTCAATTCGAGTGCAAGGAAAGCCTTTCAACATCACAGTGATCCAAATATACGCCCAACCACAGCTGCTGAAGAAGCAGAAGTAGATCAGTTCTATGAGGATCTGCAGGACCTACTGGATAATACACCAAAAAGAGACATTATTTTCATTACAGGAGACTGGAATGCCAAGGTGGGAAGTCAAATGACAACTGGGATCACAGGCAAGCATGGTCTGGGAGAACAAAATGAAGCAGGGACGCAGGCTGATAGAATTTTGCCAGGAAAACTCGCTGTGTATAACAAACACTCTCTTCCAACAACCTAAAAGACGGCTTTATACATGGACTTCACCAGACGGTCAACACCGAAATCAGATTGACTACATCCTTTGCAGCCAAAGGTGGCGGACATCCATCCAGTCGGTGAAAACAAGACCTGGGGCTGACTGTAGCTCAGATCATGAACTTCTTATTGCTCAATTTAGAATAAAACTAAAGAGATCAGGGAAAATACACAGACAAGTTAGATATGATCTCACTAACATTCCTAGCGAAAATACAGTGGAAGTGAAGAACAGATTTGAAGGACTAGATTTAGTAAACAGAGTCCCAGAAGAACTATGGACAGAAGTCCGCGACATTGCTCAGGAGGCGGCAACAAAGTACGTCCCAAAGAAAAAGAAAACCAAGAAGGCAAAATGGTTGTCTGCTGAGACACTGGAAGTAGCCCAAGAAAGGAGGAAAGCAAAAGGAAACAGGGATAAGGGGAGATATGCCAAGTTAAATGCGCAATTCCAGAGGTTAGCCAGAAGAGATAAGGAACTATTTTTAAATAAGCAATGCATGGAAGTGGAAGAAGACAACAGAATAGGAAGGACAAGAGACCTCTTCCAGAAAATTAGAAACATTGGAGGTAAATTTCAGGCAAAAATGGGAATGATAAGAAACAAAGATGGCAGGGACCTAACAGAAGCTGAAGAGATCAAGAGAAGGTGGCGAGACTATACAGAAGATCTGTATAGGAAGGATAATAATATTGAGGATAGTTTTGACGGTGTGGTGAATGAATTAGAACCAGACATCCTGAGGAGTGAGGTTGAATGGGACTTAAGAAGCATTGCTAACAACAAGGCAGCAGGAGACGACGGGATCCCAGCTGAACTGTTTAAAATCTTAAAAGATGATGCTGTCAAGGTGATGCATGCCATTTACCAGCAAATATGGAAAACACAAGAATGGCCATCAGACTGGAAAAAATCAACTTATATCCCCATACCAAAAAAGGGAAATGCGAAAGACTGCTCAAACTTCCGTACAGTGGCCCTTATTTCTCATGCCAGTAAGGTAATGCTCAAGATCCTGCAAGGAAGACTCCAGCAATACATGGAGCGAGAGTTGCCAGATGTTAAAGCTGGGTTTAGAAAAGGCAGAGGAACCAGAGACCAGATTGCCAATATCCGCTGGATAATGGAGAAAGGCAGGGAGTTTCAGAAAAACATCTACTTCTGCTCCATTGACTATTCTAAAGCCTTTGACTGTGTGGATCATAATAAATTGTGGCAAGTTCTTGGTGGGATGGGCATACCAAGCCACCTTGTCTCTCTCCTGAGGAATCTGTACAAGGACCAAGTAGCAACAGTCAGAACTGACCACGGAACAACAGACTGGTTCAAGATTGGGAAAGGCGTATGGCAAGGCTGCACTCTCACCCAACCTTTTAACTTGTATGCAGAACACATCATGCGATGTGCGGGGCTTGATGAATGCAAAGCTGGGGTGAAAATTGCTGGAAGAAACATTAACAACCTCAGATATGCAGATGACACCACTCTGATGGCCGAAAGCGAGGAGGAGCTGAGGAGCCTTCTAATCAAGGTGAAAGAAGAAAGTGCAAAAGCTGGGTTGCAGCTAAACATAAAAAAACCCAAGATTATGGCAACAAAAATGATTGACAACTGGGAAATAGAGGGAGAAAACATGGAGGCTGTGACAGACTTTGTATTTCTAGGTGCAAAGATTACTGCAGATGCAGACTGTAGCCAGGAAATCAGAAGACGCTTACTTCTTGGGAGGAGAGCAATGTCCAGTCTCGATAAAATAGTAAAGAGTAGAGACATCAGACTGGCAACAAAGATCCGCTAGTCAAAGCCATGGTATTCCCTGTAGTCACCTACGGATGTGAGAGCTGGACCTTAGGGAAGGCTGAGCGAAGGAAGATCGATGCTTTTGAGCTGTGGTGTTGGAGGAAAGTGCTGAGAGTGCCTTGGACTTCGAGAAGATCCAACCAGTCCATCCTCCAGGAAATAAAGCCCGACTGCTCACTGGAGGGAAAGATACTAGAGACAAAGTTGAAGTACTTTGGCCACATCATGAGGAGACAGGAAAGCCTAGAGAAGACAATTATGCTGGGGAAAGTGGAAGGCAAAAGGAAGAGGGCCGACCAAGGGCAAGATGGATGGATGGCATCCTTGAAGTGACTGGACTGACCTTGAGGAGCTGGGGGTGGTAACGGCCGACAGGGAGCTCTGGCGTAGGCTGGTCCATGAGGTCACGAAGAGTCGGAGACGACTGAACGAATGAACAACAACAACAAACAGTGGGGCAGTTATGAAAGTTATGAAAGGGAGGGTGCCCCACACAGGAGCCCAGCAGGGAAGCATTTCATCATGCCAGGGAAGCAGGAGTGGGTTTGGGGGAGGCTGGACAAGCATCCCATGTGAGTGTGCCTTCAAGTCTAGAATTCTGGCTACCAACTAAATGAGCCAAAATTCTCTTCAAGTGATCTGGGAGGCTAAGCAGGCCAGCCCGAGTTGGTACTTCGACAGGAGACAGCTGTTTTCTTTTTCAAAGAAAAGAACTGGTAAAGCCATCTCTGAGTGGTTTTGCCTGAGGAGGTAAAGTAAAGGTAAAGGTTTCCCCTCGACGTTAAGTCCAGTCACATCCAACTCTGGGGGTGGTGCTCATCTCCATTTCTAAGCCAAAGAGCTGGCACTGTCCGCAGACACCTCCTAGGTCATGTGGCCAGCATGACTGCATGGAATGCCCTGACCTGCTAGGTTGGCAGAAGCTGGGCCTAACAGCGGGAGCTCACCCTACCACCTGGATTCGAACAGCCAACTCTTCAGTCAGCAAGTTCAGCAGCTCTGCAGTTTAACCCACAGCATCTTCCACACAGCCCTATATCCCAGAATATCAAGGCAGAAAATCCCACAATATCTCATTTGAACTGGGTTATCTGAGTCCATACTCAGATAATGTGGCCTTTTCTGCTTTGATATTCTGGGATATGTGGAAGGGCCCCTACTCACATTTGCACGTTTACGAACTGCTAGGTTGGCAGGAGCTAGGGCTAACAGCGGGAGCTCACCTCGCTCCCCATATTCGAATCGCCGACCTTTCGGTGAACAAGTTCAGCAGCTCAGCAGTTTAACTCGCTGCGCCACCACGGAATCGCCTTAAGCTGACAGGGGACTGCCTGGAGCAGGGATTTCCCGGAGTCTCCCTTAGCCAATAGACAGCCCCTGGGAAGCCCCGACCCGGTCCTGCCAAAAGCCTGGTTGAGGAGCTCCTTCCCTTGCCCATCGGCTCCGGTCTAACTGAGCTGCTCGGCCCCTCGGGGCTTGGAGGTCTGCAGCGCTGGCAGTCCTTCCCCCCCCCCCTTCCCCTCCCTTCCGCGGGCCTCTGGTTTGCCCAGGTAGCCGCTCTTCCTCCCCGAGTCCCTCAGCCCAAGCCTCCTCGCCTCGCGCGAACTTCTCCCCAGGACCCTCCCCTTCGCCTTCCCTTGGTACCCGCAGGGATGCTCCGCCGGCTCTTTCTTTCCTTCCTTCTCCGCCTTCCTGGTGGGGCGACTCACCTTCCAAACGCGTTTGAGGGGAGTGGGGGAGAGACACCTCTTCAGTCCTCGCTCGGCCCCCCCACGCAAAGCAGGGACTTCTTCCTGAGCTGAGCGGAGAAGACCAAGCACGGGCCACGACGGAGCACCGGACAGGGACAGGGATGGGGAGGGAGGGAGGGAGGGAGCAGGAGGAGGAGGAGGAGGAGGAGGAGGAGGAGGAGGAGGAGGAGGAGGAGGAGGGGGGCGGGGCCAGGTGGCGAGTGACGACGGAGAGCGCGGGCGGGAGGGGGCCAATTAGGACCCAGCCTCCTCTGGTCATCATTAGCCCAAGGAGGGAGGAGGAGGAGGAGGAGGGTGGGAGGGAGACCTCAGGGAACCGCCTCTGCGCCCCAGCAGGGTAAAATGGCATTCATTCTACAGCCCAGCTTTCCAAACAGTTCATGCTGGTGACACACTTTTTCAGACATGCATCCTTTTGCCACACAGTAATTCCATTTTATCAGCAAACCAGAGGTTAAACCAGGACAGCAAGCTTGGGCCCTCTGGGTGTTTTGGACTTCAGCTCCCACAATTCCTGGCCTCAGACCCCTTCCTTTTCCCCCTCATCCACTTAAGGAAAGGGCCTGAGTGCAGGCATGTAGCGGGGGGGGGGGGGGGGCTTGGTGGTTCTCGAAAAGGCCTTACTGGTGCATTATTTAAACTGTTATGTTTATTCATATCATGATCTGATCACCATGCTCAATATATCCCATATGCATGGGGGTATTGGGGTAATGATACAAAAGGTTTGCTAGGCTAGACCCTCTTTCACTCTGACTCAGCCCCCCCCCGAAACTCAGCCTCCCCCCCGAACCCCCCCCTGAAAAACCCCCCCCGAAACAAAATCCTGGCTACGGGCCTGGCCTGAGGCCAAGAATTGTGAGAGTTGAAGTCCAAGACACTGAAAAGCCCAAGTTTGCCCAGGCCTGGGTTAAGCCAATTTTTATAAGAATTACAAACACATTCATAAATTGTAATAACGAAATATATAGGGACACATACCTCACAAAAACCTTATATATATCAGGGAGCCCCCCCCCCCCCCCCCCCCCCCCCCGATGGCACAGTGGGTTAAACCACTGAGCTGCTAAGCTTGTTGACCGAAAGATCGCAGGTTCGAATCCGTGGAGCGGCGTGAGCTTCCTCTGTCAGCCCCAGCTTCTGCCAACCTAGCAGTTCGAAAGCATGCAAATGTGAGTAGATAAATAGGTACCGCTCCAGCAGGAAGGTAACGGCACTCCATGCAGTCATGCTGGCCACATGACCTTGGAGGTGTCTATGGACAACGGCAGCTCTTCGGCTTAGAAATGGAGATGAGCACCACATCCCAGAGTTGGACACGACTGGACAGTGTCAGGGGAAAACCTTTACCTATATATATCTTTATATTATTGCTTATCTCACATAGTTTAAGGGGTATCTCATATTCACACAAAACACCTACATGTCACAACAGACTCAAGAAAGTTTATTTATTTATTTATTTATTTATTTATTTACCCTATTTATACCCGCCTTTCTCAACCCCATAGGGGACTCAAGGCAGCTTACATACTTAGGCAATTATTCAATGCCATGCTAACATACATTTATAAAAAAATAAACAAATATATTAAGATAACCATTAAAAACATATCAAACCTTAAAGTTGCATCACACAGTTTGGAAAGCTCTGTTCTCGAGTGGAGATGTGGCAAACAGATGGACCTGCTGTGACTGGGAGCACAAGGAGTGGAAGAGGGTCACAGGAGTTAGAAGCAACAACTCTTCTCAGACCTGCTTCTATTTCCATGGAAGAATGTTCCATTGGTTTCAATGGGGTTGAACTCAGAATGCCACCCCTTTCTGGGTTTTTTTTTTTGGGGGGGGTCAGTCTTATGGGCACACTGCTTTTCAAATCAGGACCAAACCTAGCCAACAGGGAGCTCTGGCGTGGGCTGGTCCATTAGGTCGCGAAGAGTCGAAAGTGACTGAACAAATAAACAACAACATCTTCAAAGTAATCTTCCTGAGTTCATCAGGGGTCTTGTGGAAAGTAATTATTTGCACATAGGTGGCTTCTGATCCAAGTAGGGACCAAAGTGGCCAGATAGGGCACCTACACACACACATTCATCATGCAGCATCCCTGCATGAACACATACCATTGGACTTCCAAGTCCATGGATTCAAGCCATGCACTGCTTGGAAATATTTTTTCTTAAATCCCGGGCACAAACCTTGATTTTTGCCACTTGATATACGGGGCACTATTTTACTCCACTATTGTATATAATGAGACTTGAGACCCCACAGATTTTGGATCCATAGCAGGTCCTGGAACCAAACTCCAACAGATACCAAGGACCCATTGTATAAGGAAAATAGCCTTGGCTGTAGGTCCCTGTCCACTTTCACACGTGACACCTGTATGTTACATGCCTTCAGGTCAATTCCACCTTGTGTCAATCCTTTCAGAGTTTTCTCGCCACATTTTATTCAGAGGGAGTTTGCCATTGCTTCATCTAAGAGGGTGTGATGTTGCCCATGGCTGACTTAGGATTTGAACCCTGGGTCTCCCAGAGTCATGCTTCAACAATCAAACCTCAGTACACTGGGGGTTCTTCCAGCCAGGCCCTATATCCCTGGATTTGATCCCAGGTTTTCTGCTTTAAACTGGATTATATGACTCCCCACTGTCAGATAATCTGGGATAAACAGAAATCCTGGGATCAGATCCTGGGATATCAGGACTGCCTGGAAGGGCCCTGACTTTCTGTGTGTATTTACAAAAAGACACTTGAACTGGGGCCAAAAGCAGCACATCCTTTGAAGAAATTAGGTCAGACCAGGAGAAATCTCTACCGTGTCTGAGCTGATGCCTAACTACTTTAAGTATTGATTCATACCTCTGAGCATGTAATGAGTAATTTCACCATGCAGGAACTAGGGACTGGATATCTTCATGCAATAAATCTTACATGTGCTATAACTATGATGACAGCACTGAGCTCTGAGCTCTCAGCTGAAGACAGGCGCTACTTCCTACAAATAGCTGCCAGATTCATAGAATGCAGGGCTGAGGAATGTGTAGCCTGAGACTACAACTCCCATCACCCCAAGCTGTCATAGCCAGCAGTGAGGAATTCAGTTGCCCAGCCACCTCCAAGGAGCACACAGCTTTAGTATATATTTTTGAGAGGAAAGAGTACTCATGCCATGTATCACATGTTCTTTCATAATATAACCTTGAGATATGGCATGGTTTTCAAGATTTACAAGTTACACTTTGGTGTATGTTGCATGTGTGTATACACACACACCCCTATGCATATGCACACACATAATTCTGAGAACTTCAAATGTAAGCCTAATAATGACTTCAGTTTATATTGTTACATTTGAATATATTTATTGGGTGCTCTCAAGCCATTTATGACTTATGGTTACCCTAAAGTGAACTTATCATGGGGTTTTTTTCTGATGCTAAGAGTGTGCAACTTAACCAAGATTACCCAGTGGGTTTTAATGGCTGAGTGAGGATTTGAACTCTATTCTTCACAGTCTTGGCCCAACTTTCAAACCATTGCACCGTGCATATAGCAGATAAATTATTTGTTTGGAAAATATTAAGATCCCTGAATAGCTCCTATCTAGAATATACATCATTTTTCTTATTTTAATTTCTTGCCATGTTAGGTTGGCTCCATTACTCAAACTTAAAGCAGACCTATCACGCTTGAAATAAGTTCGCCAAGAGTTATTCATGTTCCATTGTGCTCTATTATTTGTCTTTGAAGCCTCAGTGAGCCCTGTGTTCAAGCTATAAAAATCCAAATATCTTCCAGGTGACTATATTGTTGGTTTTTTTTCTTTTTAGGGAAAATTTAAACATTACTCAAGGTATGAAAGCATGTGTCACTATATTCCTGAAGTGGGAGAGGAGGGAGACATAGCCAATCCTAGTTTTCTTGTATGTATGGTTGATGAGCGCAGGTTTTTTGAGTCTTAGTAGATGTTTTATATGCATATGTGTTTTACTTTTTGTTTTACCTATTGGATTTTGTACTGTGTTTATTTTATGTTTTGCTTTTAGGCACCTTGTGCCGTGTGTAAACTGCCCCAAGTCCCTTCAGGGAGATGGTGGTGGGATACAAGAATAAAGTTGTTGTTATTGTTATTGTTATTTTACTGACACAAAAACACAGTATGTCACAGCAAATGAGATATATATGCTGGATTTCACATCACAAAATCACAAGTCAAACACTTCCCAAGCATCTAGGACTGTGTGATGTATTTTCAAATGATGCACACAGATCCAAGAAAGGTGTCCTTTTGAAGTTGACAGATCGTGATTTTGTCAATGTTTATTGTTTCCAAATGCTGGCTGAGATCTTTTTGGTACGATTACCACTGGGAACACCTGTACTGTTTTATGCCAGAGCCTTTGCAGTTCATTATTATTATTATTATTATTATTATTATTATTATTATTATTATGTGGAGGGATGCTCCATGACTGGGGTGTGTTTAGGGTGTGCTCCATTCTGCCATGTTGGTATTAACCTCCTTCCCTTATTTATTTATTTATTTATTTATTTATTTATTTATTTATTTCATTTACTTATACCCCGCCCTTCTCACCCCGGGGGGGACTCAGGGCGGCTTACAGTGGGGGCACAATTAGATGCCCAAGACAATTCACAAGCAATACAAATACAAACAATTCAACAATTAATTAAAAACATCAGTACATAATAAAATAATAAAACAGTCTCATGCTCAGGGTTCAGAGTCCATATATCCATTCCATTCCATTTGTCCTTGTCTATCATCAGATCCTTCAGTTAGGTGTCAGAATGACCAAAGGCTTGATCCCAGATCCAGGTCTTCAGTTTTTTCCTAAACGCCAAAAGGGAAGATGACGATCTAATCTCCCCGGGGAGTGAATTCCACAGCACATCCTTTGAAGAAATTAGGTCAGACCAGGAGAAATCTCTACCGTGTCTGAGCTGATGCCTAACTACTTTAAGTATTGATTCATACCTCTGAGCATGTAATGAGTAATTTCACCATGCAGGAACTAGGGACTGGATATCTTCATGCAATAAATCTTACATGTGCTATAACTATGATGACAGCACTGAGCTCTGAGCTCTCAGCTGAA